TGAAGAGCAGTCGCGAAATTTTTTGGTGCCAATAAATCCTGCTGTTCTTGCCTACTTCAGCTAACAGAGGAATGTAGATAACCTTCTGAGGGAAGACGATTATACGCCTTCCACTCGTCCGTTACCAATATACTGCCTTTGGCGACCCATTTTGTAATAACGGAAGGGAGAGCGGGCTAACATCGATCATTCACCTGTTCAAATAAGGCTTTCCGTCGGCTTGTATCGTACATCCCGACCGGCCACCACCCATAAAACCCCTATTGCCACCTGTCCCGTAAGACAGGCTGCTTTGGTTAGGCGGATTTTTTGGGTGCCATCTCCCGACTGTTGCCGTATCGAATTGAGGCGTTAGAAGTGATGAACAAAGGGATGAGAGGAATCGTGGGGGCGAGAATCAGAGCAATAGGTTTGTAACAATATTGGTAAGGCTGGTTCTTTGCATGGAACATGCGGTGGCGCTTTTTATGACTAATCTTCCATTTTACATGTTCCAGCCTTCTGATGAGATCTCAGAGGCTGGCGAAATGTACAGACAATACCGTTGATGCTGCTGATGTGGTTAAGATATGATTATGTAACCCCACTTGATGGAGACAGTACTTTTTGGGGTTAGGGTTAGGGGTTAGGGTTAAGGGTCAGAGTTGTGGGTTAGGTTTAGAGGTTAGGGTTAGGGCAACTGTTTCTCGACCATTCAAGGTGCATTCCCAATAGCTTTTCTTTCGCATACAACTACTTGACCTCGTCGCTTGTGCGTTGCCCGATCCCACCTTTAAAAAGCCCTATAACCGTCGATCCCGTATTACAGGTGGCTGGGGTTTGTTTACCTCAGTTGGGGCTTCATAAACAAATCTGACCTTGATGTGTTTTCTAGATGTTTGCGTTCTTTGGCATTATCTAGGATCCTGAAGCAAACAAACTCCGTATGGGTGGCGAAGATCACGAACAACAGTCAACTGCCAGGTCAATGTCGGCCAAGTCATGATTGCAGAGGGGGGGGGGTACGACAGAGGATGCTAGTAGATCGATACAGAACTGTTTTGGACTTATTCTGCCTTCATGCAACCAATCATAACCCTGAACACCACCTGGCTGAATAAATATCCGGTCTGCAGCAACAGAGAATGACAGGTGGCGAGACACTGATGAACTTCGGTTCGATGAAGTGCTTATGACCCATCTGCTAGACCCCAGTGGTGGACCAACTACGCCAGGTGCGTCCATGCGCATGTTCGTGTTTCTGGTCACAGTTGCTGTTCAGGAAATGTGATTGGCTGAATGAAGGCAAAATAAGCCCGAAACAGTACTGTATCAATCCACTCGTATTCTCTGTCGTCCCTCTTCGCTGCTATTATGACTTGATTGACTACAGTCTGGTAGTTGGTTGGCTGTTCGTGACCTTTGCCACCCATACGGAGTTTGTTTGCTTCGTGAAGCCAATAGACCGGTGTGCGCCCATACCTGAGCCCACACTCACGAAGGATCCCCAGCTGTGTCGATTGATGCTTCTGGCCAAAGTTAACGACCATCAGCTTAAGCGAATCTCGAGAACGTACTGAGAGTGGTGTTCAAATTGTCAAAAAATAATTTTTCTAAATCTAGGTCTCTGATCAAATCTCCGGATAAAGTATAACGTTTTTTGCCGAAATCTTCCTTATCTTTTTTCCTCTGCTTAGGTATGGAAGAACGCCATGTCGAAACGGCGGTGTGTGTCACACCTTAGCTGAGGAAAAGAGGCCGCTTCCCAGCATCCCTTTCAAGTGCTCTTGTCCGCCTGCATGGAGAGGCTACTTGTGTGAGGTACGGTGATTGAATTACTGTAGACTATGCGTGGTGAACAACTGAATGATATGCGTTGCAGATTGATCATAGGCCAGGTGTTCAGGATGCTAGTAATGTTAAACGCCAATACTCAAAGGCCCACTTCAGTGGTGTTTCAAATTGTGGGATCACTGCGGTACTGCAGCAGTTTCGCAGTGGGATGTTAGCAAGCGAGCTCAGAGGGAAGGATTCTTTGTCGCCGTGGGGCATGAAAGGCTACGAGAAACGATTCGGACCCTGCGCTAGTAGGACAGACTACGTAGCGAATTGCTGCCTGCTTATATGGTTGGCAAACCAATCAGGTCTTTGAGTGATGTTCTTGTATTGAGCACACTAAGTACCTTCACTGTAGTTAATAATTTGCGGCGGCCTGTCGTCGTCACTTCGACTTAACTTATTTAAAATTAAATCGCCTAATTAATTACTTTTAGTTTATTTAAAACCGACAGTCCGCATTGAGCGCAGAATTGACTAAAATCATCATTTGAAGCATTTTTTCCCGGGTATGAATTGAAAACAAGCATGTACAGCAGAATTTATTGGGGCCAATAAATTTCGAGTACTTGTCCGAGCACGTACAACTCGAACCTTGCGTTATTTGGAAGCAGCCTACCTACGGAGGGAGAAACCAGACCTGTGCAAGCAGTTAGATCACGTGATCAATCTGCAATTGCCCTGGTAATCTCACGCCTCTATTTTCCCCTGCCTGTGATTTGTTGTTAACATTTCGTCTCCCTTTTTTCCTTTTTGATGCTTACGTGGACGTCTTATCTGATTATTGATTGCTTTGAACTGTGGCCTTGCTCTTATACACTGCCATTCTGTACAAATTCATACTGCTGTGCGCTTTCATTCGTTACCTATGTTATGCAGAGACGGGTTGCAGTTGAAAAGCCGTCACGAAATTTATTGGCCCCAATAAATTCTGCTGTACATGCTTGTTTTCAATAAATTCATCATCATCATAACAATTCTGGAGTTAGAACCTCAGCACCCGTTTTGTCATTCTCTGTCTTCAGAAACCACGCAACCCCTGTCGCCATATTGATAACCTCTGTGGCCCATTCCCCTGTGTTCGAGATCCTAACAGCGAGGTCGCTGGTTACGCCTGCCGGTGCACCAAGGGCTACGAACCAACGAGTCAGTCAAACCCCACCTGCGTGAACGTGAATGAGTGTGAAGACCCCCTGAATACGCCATGCCTCAACGGCGGCGTCTGTCACGATCTGATTCCTCCAACCTTCGTTGACCTCTCAGGAAAGGAGCGGAGATTTCGGTAGGATTTTTTACACTAGATGAACCCGTTTGCGAGCAGAAAACTAAAGCCCTCTGAGAGCCAGCAAACTCTCATGTCTGAGTAATTACAGTAGGCGTGAACGACCAAGGTGTTAGTGGCGGGGGGGGGGGCTTTCACCGATCGTTCATACGGAACTCACTCGTCCCAGTGTGCCTTGGGGCTTTCTCTCGAGCTTCATCAGCAGCCACACAGTGGCGCATGATACGGGCAGAATAGTATTACCGACAAAGACAAGGGAGACTGGAATGGCTATTTCTGGCTTATTAGTCGTCGTCAGCCGGCCATACCTAATGCCGAGGTGGGGAACACCAGGGGCTCGATCCTGCGACCTACTGGTTGGAAGGCCAGCGCCCCAAGTGTTTCACACCCCCGGGTTGGGTATGACTGGCTGACGAGAGTCAATAGACCAGAAACGGTCATTCCAGTCTCCCTTGTCTTCTTCGGTAATACTGTTTTGCTTAAGCTATAAGTTTTGGCCTCATAACTAAACATACAGTCAAGATGAGTCGGGCTTACGTCTGCAGCTGCCGATTTTTTGACATATTACGTAACTTTTGGCTGTTCAACCCTAATGGCACTCTTGGAGACCATCAGCAAGTGGACAATTTACAGATAAAAAGAGCAAACTCCGAAGTGAGGGCCAGTATATTACCGAATTCCGTGATTGAAAGGAACAGGTGCCTTTGGGGTGGGCATAAATGAGTAATCTCATGAAATGTTAACCGAAATTCTAAAATGCGCTTTCACTTAGGAATGGATACCTAAGTGGTGCTGTGACGCTGATTAGCGTACAGCATAATCTCAAGAAATTTTAGTCATGCCACGATATCTATCCTAACCAGGCTTTGCTCTTTACAACTAAACTTCAGTTGTGAATGTCGTTTCGGATTCACTGGAACTCTGTGTGAAAAGCCACCGCCACCAGTGGTCTGGTCCGCCTGGGGTGAATGGTCCCTCTGCTCCGTCCAGTGCGGCATGGGAAT